ATAGATAGATAGATAGATAGATAGATAGATAGATAGATAGATAGATACGGTATTAACTCATTGCCCTGGCAGAGGAAAGCGACAACGGAGAACGCCAGGACCGGGATTTGAGAGCAGAGAAGCGAACCGCAAAGGCGAATTGTTTTAAAGGAAAGCAAGTCGAAAAAGTTCCCTTCCATCAGAGAACACAGAAGTCCTCCCTTCCCCGTCCCCTGCTGTTCTCCTCGCCGGACAAGGAACTCACCCATGCTGTGATGGAAGCGGCGCGCACAGATCCCCTCCAAAAAAGTTTGTTTTCCAACTCGAGAACGGGCGAAAATAGAAAACTGCCCCCCCCCGCTTCCCCCGGCCCGGAAGCCCCAAGGGCTCGAAAACTCAACTAGCGGATTCCCAGCGCTTCCCAGCCCTGGACTTTATAAGCGCCGAGAACGAAGGGACGTGCCGCATTCCGACGCTAGGGGGCATGCCGCTGCCCCCCCGCCCCGGGACAAAGTTCTCGGTTTGCTAGGATAGCATCCTGGATGCCCGCGCCGCCGCAGAAGGACAAAGGCAGGAGCAGAAATGTCCCCCACCCCACCCCCACCCCTTCGAAAGCCCCGGGAAGTTGGAGGCCCGCGAAAGCTTAACTTTGCCCTGCACCGCACAGAAGTTTTGGGTCTCGGGTTGTTGTTGTGGTTGTTGTTTTTCCTTTCTTTTCGTCGCCGGCAGACGGGACCGAAGAGCGCCACGTTGCTCCGGATCTGCCTACATGCTCCGGCGGGGAGGAGAACCTCCTCGCAGAAACAGGGGCAATAGTCAGCGGCGCTGGGGAAAAGGAGGCGCGCGACCTCGCTCCTTCTTCCAGGGCAGGGGTCTCCAACCTTGGCAACTTTAAGACCTGTGGACTTCAACTCGGCTGAGAAATTCTGGGAGTTGAAGTCCACAGGTCTTAAAGTTGCCAAGGTTGGAGACCCCTGTTCCAGGGCATGGCTGGGTGGGAACCGGGAGCGCAGGGAAACGAGCAAAGGGCCCCCTTGCTCAGGCTCGCTAGAATAGATCCCATCCATTCCGGAGAGATTGCGTAGACGATCTCTGGTCTGCGAAGTCAACTGCCTGTTAAAAATGTGTACTCTTAAAATGTGTACTATTAAGAATGTGTACTCCATTTCTCCCCATGCTTATGGAATGTTGGTTAGAGGCAAGCATCGTGAAAAGCGTCTTTGGCACCGGGGTAGCTGCCTTTTATCGGCACCTGGTTTAAGATAAGATAACCTTTATTGTCATTTTTTTTTTACTGTGAGCACACTAAAAATGTGCTCATTAAAAATGAAATTATGTTGCCTGCTCTCAAAAGTGTACATAACACACGTATAGGCTCCATCTCTCTCTCTCTCTCTCTCTCTCTCTCTCTGTAGCTACACTCTTACCTATAATTCAATATCTATTGAATTCTTCTGTATAGTGCAATATTAATGCAATATCAGGGGTTTTCAATTCAGTGTATAGAATGTGAAGGATGTATGTTTGTGTTTATTTTCATAGTCATAATGTACAGGAATTCAAGAAGTTGAAGTCCACAAGTCATAAAGGGGCCATGGTTCCCTACCTCTGATCCAAACCTTCACATTGCTGCTATTGGCCTGAACAGAATTTCAACTTTGAATTGTGAGCTCTCCAGAGTTTGCTGAGATGGGCAGCTATAGAAATCAAACAAACATGCAAAGCATGTCACTTTCCAAACTCTTTACCAGTAGTGGCCACAGTACACAATATTGTGTGTAAATAATGTGTGTGATTTAATCAGGATGGATGCATATGTCTTGCCTCTGCATGGCAATTAGATAGTAGATCCCCAATATATATACTACTGGAGAGAAACTATGTTTCCTTGGTTTGAACTGTAGTTGCTTGATTCAAAGTGCCAAGTCATGATTTGTTTCATTGTGGTTTGCTATATAAACCACGGCTACACTACACTATAGCTACATTGGCTAGAGATTGGGGACTAAGAAGATATAGTGAAGATGTATTTTTTCTCCAAGGAATCACATTAAAGTCAGCAACCCCTTTGTGAATCAGCCATTAAGACAAGAAAGAACTGGAGAGGCATTTAAAAGTAAGATTTATAGTAATGAGTAATTTTAGCCTTCCTTGCCTAAACTTGATAAATGCATGAGACAGTTATTAAAAAGAAATAAATACATACAAGGCTAGAACATTTGAAACTTTAATTTCTAAGAATGGATGTTAAAGGGGACAGCATTAAGATATAAGATACAATTATGTGTGGAATAATATGAAGTGGATAGAGAATTTATTCTCTCTTAAAATACCCAGTGAAGCATTAAAACATATTTAAAATAGACAAAGAAAGGCACTCTGGATGTACACAGAAAAAGGTGCTTCAGTGCCCACAGGAGTGCTCATTAAGATCTGTTGGCAATTGCCTCCTGGGAATCATTAAAGAGAAATCCCCCAAAGATTTGATATTTGATTATACATATATTAATGGTGGCATGAATTGTGCTAGATCAGACCTGGAAGATGTCTACCATTCCATCAAATGACATAATTTGCAAAATTTTGGATTGTGCAGAGATGGATAGACTCACATTGAAATTAAAGGACAAAGAGGACTCAGAGTATTACTTAATCTGGAATATCTGGTATCAATGGTTAGACAGTAAAACAGGATAAAGAAAGGTCAAAAAAGGAAATAAAATTCAAACACTAGTATATAGATAGGAAAAAGGAGAAGTTGTAGAAAAGGAGGAACTGTCAGAAAAATGGAAACTTAATTAAATATTTATATTCAGATTCATAAATGCCAATGTAGAAATACATATATCGAACTATTAAAAATGTGTACTCCATTTCCCCCCATGCTTATTAAAATGTAATACATAGATTATAATTACTCCTGACTATACACACACACACACGCAGTATTAACATACTTCTTTTCATACTTGAACTATTGACCTATAAAGATAAAATATTTTTGTTTATTAATAGTAGCAAAGCACTGTGAATTAATATCACTAATATGATAAATAACTATAAAATATTATGTGTATCTATGGCATTTATGGTACTGTCAAGAAAGTGATGTTGAAAGATATTGACATAATTTCTTCTACAGAAACTTTTGCAAATCTTTTTAATATTTTGTATTTTGTACATTTTTTAATATCTTGAATTTCAATAAAGAATTTAAAAGATCTGTTGGCAATTGCTTTAAGCTACTGGATCTTCTAGGATCCATGGCTGCCCTCTGCAACTCTAGGAAGATCCCTAGAAAAAGTTGTGTTTACATGTAGGGGTTGCAGACAAGAGCCATATATGGATTTTTTTGCACACTGAAGTACCTTTCCCTTTCAAATCTGAGGTCTTGAACAACCTTAAAAGAAAGCATTTCTTCCATTAACCTATGGGATTCATTACGACATGTGAGGGAAAGAAACAGACAGCTGTAAAAAGAGACTAGATACATTCATCAAGAGCAGATCTGTCTTAAAGACGCTTTGGTAATTCCAGGTTGAGACTATCATGCCTCTAAACACCACTTGCAGAGGGGAATAACAATAGCAGAGGTCATCTAGTTGGCTATGGTGAGAAACCAGATTCTTGATTAAGATGAGCCTTGACCTGATCTAGCAAAGCAATTCTTACATTCTTGTAAGTATCCTAAATAATTTTACTCTAACACCATGGAATCTTGGGATATAGATCAAATTAGTAAATGACAACACAAATCCCATCCTTTTGAATATGTGTGTGTGTGATACTAACAAGTAAGCAAAGGGGATAGGGTTTGTGTTTTATTCTGTCCATTATTTTTCAGGAGTTGAAAAGTAAAATCAAGATCAAATCCTTATTGATTTTAAAAATTATTGAAAACCATAAAAATAGTTCACAAAGAATGTATGCCACAGGTCAGGAATAACTGATTGATTCCTTGCTTATTTTGCGCTCTCTCTCTATATAGTGGTTTTCTTTAAGAAGCTTTATTTCTCTTCCTTCCTTCTTGCAAGAAAAAAAATCTAAGAGCTCGTTTTCTATCTCTGTGTCATAATAAAACTGTTTACTTTCTGTTAATATCAGGTTTCTTTTGCAACATTACAGACCCAGTCTGGACTAGACTAGGATTGCCTTTTGTTTTATTATTGTTTTTCTTCTTAGCCATTTAGCAAACTTGTTAAAAAAGCAGAACTGTATATGCACTGCTCCAAAAAATAAAGGGAACACAAAAATAAGACATCCTAGATCTGAATGAATAAAATATTCTTATTAAATACTTTGTTCATTACATAGTTGAATGTGCTGACAACAAAATCACACAAAAATTATCAATGGAAATCCAATTTAGCAACCCATGGAGGTCTGGATTTGGAGTTACACTCAAAATTAAAGTGGAAAAAAACACTACAGGCTGATCCAACTTTGATGTAATGTCCTTAAAACAAGTCAAAATGAGGCTCAATAGTGTGTGTGGCCTCCACGTGCCTGTATGACCTCCCTACAACACCTGGGCATGCTCCTGATGAGATGGCGAATGGTCTCCTGAGGGATATCCTCCCACATCTGGACTAAAGCATCCCCCAACTCCTGGACAGTCTAGTGCAATGTGGCATGAGACATGATGTCCCAGATGTGCTCAATTGGAGGAACGGGCGGGCCAGTCCATAGCATCAATGCCTTTGTCTTGCAGGAACTGCTGACACATTCCAGCCACATGAGGTCTAGCATTATCTTGCATCAGGAGAAACCCAGGGCCAACCGTACAAGCATATGGTCTCACAAGGGGTCTGAGGATCTTATCTCGGTACTTAATGGCAGTCAGGCTACCTCTGGCGAGCACATGGAGGGCTGTCCAGCCCCCTAAAGAAATGCCACCCCACATCATTACTGACCCACTACCAAACCGGTCATGCTGGAGGATGTTGCAGGCAGCAGAATGTCGTCTCCAGACCCTGTCATGTCTGTCACATGTGCTCACTGGGAACCTGCTTTCTTCTGTGAAGAGCACAGGGCACCAGTGGCGAATTTGTTAAACTTGGTGTTCTCTGGCAAATGCCAAACGTCCTGCACAGTGTTGTGCTGTAAGCACAACCCCCACCTGTGGACATTGGGCCCTCATACCACCCTCATGGAGTCTGTTTCTGACCGTTTGAGAAGCCACATGCACATTTGTGGCCCACTGGAGGTCATTTTGCAGGGCTCTGGCAGTGTGCCTCCTGTCCCTCCTTGCACAAAGGCGGAGGTAGCGGTCCTGATGTTGGGTTGTTGGCTTCCTCCACGTCTCCTGATGTACTGGCCTGTCTCCTGGTAGCACCTCCATGCTCTGGACACTATGCTGACAGACACAGCAAACCTTCTTGCCACAGCTCGCATTGATGTGCCATCCTGGATGAGCTGCACTACCCGAGCCACTTGTGTGGGTTGTAGACTCCATCTCATGCTACCACTAGAGTGAAAGCACCGCCAGCATTCAAAAGTGACCAAACCATCAACCAGAAAGCATAGGAACTGAGAAGTGATCTGTGGTCACCATCTGCAGAACCACTCCTTTATTGGGGATGTCTTGCTAACTGCCTATGCTTTCCACCTGTTGTCTATTCCATTTGCACAACAGCATATGAAATTGATTGTC